TATTCCCGACAAACTTTCCTTTTGTGACCAGTATAGTGATTTTTTTTCTTCCTATTTTCAATCAGAAAACGTGGTGTGCATTTGTGTCATTCCTTCACGTAAAGTCCTGGTCACAAAAGCAAAGTTTGTGGGGAATAATAGCCATTTTCTATACTTTTAGGCATAAGCAATGAAAAAGTAACACTTAGTACCCAGGAGCAAAAATTGTGTTACACAGTGTATTGTAAGAGGAAGGCGTAAAGGTTGCTTCACAGCAGCAAACCATCTGGGAGGGAGGCCATATTGGGTGCTCGCACAGCAAAGCTACTCCAGGCTGCTGGTTACAGACTCGCAGCGTGCCATGAGCAAGTGCCCTTGCATGTGTAAAGACTGCGTCAGCAAGTCTCGACGTGAAGACAGGGTATCAGCAAGGCTAGATGCAAAGAGAAGGCTCGAGCAAGTCTGTAGGATCTTGGTTGCGAAACTCCCCGGAGTGTCCTAAAGAGACAGCGGAGGAAATTTCCCCAGGGAATCCACGAGGATAAAAGCAGGGCAAGAAGGGATGTTCGGGGCTGTCGAGAAGGACTCGGGCCATCGTCGCTGTCTTCACATCGTCGCTGTCTTCATGTTGTCGCTGTCTGCTCCGACATACAATCTCCACGTCGGCATTATCTCAGGACGACGTGGTTCTCAGCTACGTTGCGTGCAATAAAATAAACCTCTACAGCTCTGCTGGACGAGCTGCAAGCGCTCTTGGCCAGCGCCGCCACGGAGCAATCCGACTGCTGATCGAGCCTGGAGGGTGGGCAGCTCTGAGTGGACAGCGAACCGCGTTGCTCACAGCGGACCGAGCCTACTGATAAACGCATCCCTGGTGGGGCTTTGAAGGTACATTTTTGGGGGCTGGTAGAAGACAGAAGGCGGACACGGACTCACCAACAGATGCACCCGTCACGTGACCACGCAGCTCACGAGTGGGGACGCCACCTCGTGCGAGGTTCGCACGGGAACCAACTCAGATCACTCTACACATCGTGACTAGTGGACCGTGCATCACGATTGCCACCCTGGTAATCAAAACCAAGGTGGCGGGATGAATACTTTCGTTGAGATAGTCGCCGTTTGTTTTTCTTTTAATCGCATGATCTTGCTCATGCTATCGTTGATGTCATTCTAACCATTTGATGAGTATTCATTTTATTAACCCATATGCCTGCATAGATACTATGATTTTTAGATAGTTGCTGTTTGTTTTCATTTTAATCGCATACTCTTGCTAATTCGATCGTTGATGTTATTTTAAACATTTGATAAGCATTAATTTTATGAACCCATATGCCTGCATAGATACTATGATTTTTAGATAGCTGCTGTTTGTTTTCATTTTAATCGCATACTCTTACTAATCTGATCGTTGATGCCTTCTAAACATCTGATAAGGATACATTATATTGTAACACGAATGCTGACATTGATACTGCTATTGTGGGTTAGCCTATACGTAGTCTTTCATCATGTGATCGTGAGATCCAATTGTTGGTGCTTCTGACCATTCGATAGGCATATTTTACGGCCACGCATTCCATAGGAATATTGCTATTTTAGGTTCTGCCTATTGCTTTATTTTCTTATCACGTGATCGTAAATATTAATCAATACCTTTTTTTTGTCATTTCATACGGATTGATGAGTACGTATATTTGCATAGGTACTGTCGTTGCTATTAATTCCTGTTGATTATAGTTCTGGAAACTAGAGTCAGTTGATATTAAAGCTGCTTAGATTAAAAACACAGGTTTCCGAGTGCTTCTTTCCAAAATCCGTGCATCACTATAATCACATACACAACAACAAGAACCGCCATTGGCCACTAAGTGGCGGTGACGTCACCACGACGCTTGTGCCAGGCTATGTGCACCTTGAGGCCACGTTACATCGATGTAACTGCTGCCGCAGACACAACTCGAAGCGACGTCTCAGACCGGGTTCGCGAACACAAAGCGGATTTGAAACACGGTCGAAAAAACACTTCAGCGATGGCAGATCATTGTTTCAACGCTGTGGGCACACGTGACATTGTTTTCTCCGAGACCAAGGTGCTCTGAAAACCCTCGGGCTACCATCAGAAATTTGTTCATGAAGCTGTGCCGATATACAAACACAGACAAAACTTTAATTGAGAAGATGGATTCAGATTGAGCAATCATTGGAAGGACGTGATCAACCACATTAAGTTCTAACTGCTGTGATTTTCACTCACCCACCCGTGACGTTTTTGTTTTCGGTTACTAATTCAAGCTCATTGACATGCTAATTTCTCCAGCCCCACTCGTCCTTGCACGCCACAAACCCTCCCCCCTCTCCCCCCCGTGAACTCCTGCAGCCACTACTCGACACAACTCCCCCCCCCCCCCTCCCGTGCCTATATAAAGCCACAACAGCAGATAATTTTCTCACCTGATGACAGACACTTGTGTTGCGACCGAAACGGCGTGTTTCTTTAATTTTCTTCTACCTATGTGACTTTACCGAAAGAACGAGAGGGTATGGATTTCTGCAGTCACGAAAGCTTCAAATCAAGACTCATTCACCATGTGTTTGTGCCACATTTTGTATCTCGGTTGAGCCCAAGTTAAGTTTCCTTATTTCCTGTTTCTCTACTCCCTCCTGGTATAGCCGGTGGGGGTATCAATGGGGAATGGGCAGGTTGTGTTTGCCCTTGAGTGGGTTGTAGCCTGGGGTGCTGGTATGATTCCGCTCGTAACCTCCACACCCTGCGATTCCCATAATTACCTGTCTTTGTGCACTGTTAGTCGCCTCTGGTTTGTGTGCCACTCTCTCGCTGGATTGTTACCTTGCCATCTGCGTGTGTAATTGTGTTGGTGATTCGTGGGTGCTTTCTCCTCTCTGTATTGTGGGGTTTGGTGTATTATATGCCTCACATGTGGGGTGCTGTGGCTGCTCACATGGTTTTCACTTCCCTCTGGATCAGGGGTCGCCAACGCCCGGGCACAGGTCAAGGATTTATCCAGTCTTTCGCTTTCAAATTTTTCCTCATTCCATAATCTTTCTCTGTCTGTCTGTGTAAGGAGATATGAGTATAATCTTGCTATTTCTGCAATTTTTACATCATGTTCGCCTTTGTCACATCTTATCAAGTCCTTAAGTAGTTTCCCTCGATGTGCCTTAACGTAATCGATATGGCTACCCTCCCATGTCTCTCCGATTGTCCTGGTCTTTAGCAGACTGGCCTGTACGTTTTAACATAAGTTCACGATATTGTGTTTCCATTGATTCCATCTCATCCTGGAAGGTCCGATCCTCTGAATCGGGGCTACGCGGTTGGGTGTCAAACTTAGGACGTTGTGGATCACGTGCCATCTCTACTATGTAGTATGGTCACTAGACTCGAGAGTTTATCTTAATCCTAACATCTTATGTGAGGCGTAAGCTACTCTGGTATTCCGCTTCAGAGTGCGTATATATATGTAATGCGAGCGTAAATCGGGTTGTTGCTGGGCTCTGGCCCAATCACACGGCCCGGGGTATTGGGGGGCGGAGCCTGGTTTGCAGGGCGTGTGGGAGGGGCCACCGTTCACCTCGGCTCCAATGGGAGGAGGCGAGGTGAATGGGGGCGGAGCCAGCGGGGTAGTATGGGAAGGCCGGATCTGACGTCCGGAAGGCGAGGAGTCAGGGTCACGTGGGGGGAATGGTTATAAGTGGGAGCTCGGAAGAGATCGTGGCAGTCGGGGAAGTTAAGAGTCTGAGCCACGTTGGGTGGTGAGAGGAGATCCGCGCCATCGGCCACGTGGCCGAAGGACCTCAGCACGCCGTCGGCCAGCGGTGTGCGGAGTGCGGGAGTGGAGGAGCTAACGGAGGAGCGTGCGCGGCACGCGAGAGGAGACGCTGATCCCTGATCAGGTCCAGCGGGGTGTGAGGAAGAGTGGAGGAGCTGACGAGGGAGCGCGTGCGGGGCACGCACGAGACGACGCTGGTCTGCGGAGGAGACCAGCGGGGTGCGGAGAAAGAACCTAAATAACAGACAAACGGAGACCAGCAGTGCCTGACGGAGTCTTTTATTACATACTAGCAGAAGTACCCGGCGTTGCCCGGGTGAAAAATATATTTCTTAGTAACCTTACATATATACACAGATACTAAGGTATTGTCTAAGCCCAGTGGGCTTTGACAATACTCACCACTCACGCTCACCACTCACCCTCTCCCTCACCACTCACCCTTACTACTCACCACTCAACCTCACCACTCTTCCTCACCACTAACCCTCACCACTCACCCTTACTATTCACCACTCACCCTCACCACTCACATCACACGAGCATAAGAGAATAAAGTTTAGATGGAAGCATATTATATAATTTTTAAGACGTAGAATTGTAATGTATTACTTGCTGTTAGTAACTCAGTTTATTGTAGAGTATAGTAAGTATTCTGATGGTGCTATGCAGTTTATACTTTAGTTTTTTATGTAGTTTATACTTTAGTTTTCTACGTTGTTGTTGAGTAACTGCAGCTACATATCATTAACATTCCTTTCCTTTGTTACTGCTAATCCCTGCACCCCCCCTTGGTGCTGCTGATCCTGCATAATGCATGGGCATAATATGACTTTGAAAACCCCCCCGCCCACCTCCTACGCATTTTCCATGAATATGCAAAATTCCTCTTCATATGCACATTCTTTTTGTTAAGGCGCTCTTCCACCTCCAACGCAGCTTATATATAAGCTCCTAGCTTGGTAGTGTCTCATTCTTCACCTGAAGACGGCTGCTTGCGTTGTAGCCGAAACGTCGTGAGAATTATTTTATTATGTTTTATTTTTATTATTTTATTACTTCCCTTCTACGTGACTTTACCGAAAGAACCAATAAGATGAATCCCTGCAGTCACGAAAGCTTTAAATCGAAATGCATACTGTGTTGGTACATATGATGGCAGCAGTACATACCGAGTGTGGTGGTACCTGCTGTGATGACAGCAGTACATACCGAGTGTGGTAGTACATATATTACATACACAAATACAAAAAGTTTAATGTACGTAAAAAGTATTTGCGTATGAATTTTACGTGTTTAGGAGAATAAAAACTGTAATACTAAATAATAAATGGAACTGTGAACCCAAATGATGGACCACATAATAAACCAGTGTGGTCTCCGTCTCTTCAATGTCAGAATAACAGGACTTGCATAAGCTCTCTCCTGAAGCCCTTTCGTTGCCAGCAGATCTGAACATTGACATTTAGCTCTCCAAAAGTGCCATACGCAAGACGACAAACAGAAACATGTATTTAATTGTAGTTAACATTTATTTAGTGTCTTTTTATACGGCTCTTGACTCAGGTGCAACCGCAACAAACAAAAACATGAACAAAGAACATCTTAAAATGACGACGCGCGACAGAAACATCCAGGAAAAAACTGCAAAATCTTCCTGAAAAAACACAGTATATCAACGCTGTGCGCAAAAATTCCAGTGGGATGGAAGTCTAACAATAACAACCATACAACAATTTAGATTAAAGTTATCAGGCTAACTCTGTACTACTACATAACATGTACATGCCTTTGTCTTTTATCGAATCCAATGAGTCGTAAGTAGATGGTCAATGGTAGAAAAACACGTATTTATTTGTACTATAGTAAGGCACTACAAAAACCACAGACTATATAACTTGTAATAGGAAAAATGGGGAAATGGGGAGAAGGGAAGTAGGGCAGGTAAGATCCGAGGCGAAAGAACAACAGCGCACGGGCGGTGCCGCAAACAACCGCTGACTGCAAAATCGCCGACAGGTAAAACTGCCACTTTTTGCTGACCAACACCCCCCTATCAAAGAGCTTCTTTGTAAACAATATTTCTGGTCCTGCCTGCTGGTGCAAAGTAATGTAAATAGTTTTCACTGCCTACACGAGAGCATCCAACATAAAGTTGGCCATGAGAAAAGCACTGAGTTGCCAAATTCAGTCCCACCACTTTTAAAGATTGTCCTTGCGCCTTGTTAATGGACATTGCAAAGCTGAGCTGATTGGGGAAATAAAGCCTCTTAAATTCAAAGACTGTGTCATTTGGGATTATAGGTATGCGAGGGATAAAGACGTCCTCACCTTTAGAATTGCCTGTAATGATTGTAGCTTTGATAACATTACAATGTAATTCTTTAACAATTAACCTTGTGCCATTGCATAGTCTAGGTGGGTCCACGTTTCTCAATAGCAACACAGGTGCCCCAATTTTTAGTAGCAAGTTGTGTGGTGGGACACCCGGGAGCTGCAGAGAATTCAAGAATTCAACTGGATAGTGAACAATTTGATCATGGTCCAACACTGTGTCAATAGATTTGTAGGACTTGCTCTCTCCAGATAATTTCTGCAACAACATGGAATTTATTCTGTGAACGGAATCATTTTTGGAGCCAAAATGGCCCTCTCCTCTAGCCAGACAACATCTTGAAAGTGTTGTTGCATGTTTGGGTACACTTTTTCCTCCAGTTCCTCTTCCGAAGTGGAAAGGCTGCCTTTAGACATGGTGATAAGTCCATCTGTGCCGTCAGCAAGAATTCTGCCATTTCCAATATCAAGGAGAGCTTCAGCAAAGTTTCCCGCCTCTTGGTCTCCATGGAGATATACACGCATGTTTGTAGTTAGTCTCAGTTTCATTACGTGCCTTCAGAGGAATGAAGACTTGATGCAGGCATTTAACTCATCAGCTTTGATCCCTCGAAGTACCACAGGTAAAGGTTTGTCGGAAGTCACCAGCCATGAGAAAAGTTACACCACCCATATTCCTGGAATTGTTGCGGAGGTCCTGCAAAGTTGTGTTGACAGCCTCAAATGCTCCCTTGTGGGACATGGTGCATTCATCCCGCAATATTAATTCACAATTAACCAGGACTTGTGCAAGGGCAGTCCCCTTTGAAATATTGCAAACAGGGTTTTCTTGTCGGGATAGATCTAATGGAAGCTTGAATGTGGAATGGGCAGTTCTTCCTCCAATAAGCAGAGTCGAAGCAATCCCTGACGATGCCACAGCCAGAGCAATGTTCTGCCTCTGGCGAACCTTAGCCAGAAGCAGGTTGAGAACAAAGGTCTTCCCAGTACCGCCAGGTGCATCAAGGAAAAACATGCCTCCATTTTTAGACTCAATGTCTTCCAAGATTTTCCTGTAGGCTTCTCTTTGTGCATCCATCAGCTTTGGTTCATTCTCCTCAATAAATTTAAGAAGCTCTAAACCATCATAGGATATTTCACGTACGATCTCTTGGGCAAGGGCATGCAGGTTGTCCCTGGAGGGTGTTGGTAGTCCGAAAGAGTTGAGGTCTTTTCCACCAATGGAGCGAAGTTTGTCTTCAAGGAGGATGAGGGCCTGGTTAAAGATGACATCAGAAAAGTTCACCTCGAGGTTGGGATTTTCTTGTTGAGCTCTGTGGAGGATGTCCTCACTCATGCCCTCTTTGTATTTTTCCCAGAGTTGTTGTGTATGTACCCCCTTTTTTAATATTAATATAAATTTTTTTAATAATTATTCTGCCAACATATATAATCGTTTTTTTAATAGACACGGGGCAACGTGGAACGAACACGCCCCCACACTTCTACAGATGCGCGCATACCTCATTTCAAAGGAAAGAGGGCATGAAAGAGAGCAATCAAGGTAATAAAACTCCCCTAAATTCACACAAGAGGAACAAGGGAGGGGGGAATTGCAGGCGGGGGGGGGGGGGGGTCAGCAGGACATCCTTTTGTTAAAAAAAAACCCCACAGGACCAGGCACCACGGAGGAAGAGATAATTATATTCTTAACAAAGAAACAGCATTGACGACAAAAAGCACAGACGGGTCTTTGAACCATGTTAAATACACAAAGTTACCAACTTAACCATGAAGATTAAGCAAACAGTATCCATCCTCACTCCAATTGAAAACCAGACTACAGTCTGCACCAGAATCGCGACCCATCATTGTTAATTAAATACTGACATTATTTACCTTTAAAGAATATCTACACGGCCGGGCCGAAGCATCAAAGAATAATTATGGCATCTATTTCGCTCCAAAACAAAATTCCTAGCCGGGATATCAGATTAAATAATCACAAGAAGTCAAATAATAAGTACGGAATTAAAGTAGAAGAGAAATCAAGGGTGGAGAAGGCTCTCAAAATTAACCAAACACAACACCCCATGGGAAGCGAGCAACACGGCCGCCTTTGTCTTCCCGAGAGGATCTCTACACTCACACAACAAAGCCAATAAAACTCCCGGGCAATGGCTCAAAGGAAATTAACACGTCTTCAGAAATAAATAAATAAGCGCATGCGCCGGGTGCTCCCACCGTGGAAACAACCGTCTTTGTCTCCCCACAACACGGACAGCAAAAATTGCACACACGAGGAAATAACATTTCCAGGAGAAATCGGGTCACGATGAAACATCGTGAACACGGTTTCGGCATAACTCGGGCATAAGGGAAGTAAGTCGCATTTCAACTTCCAAACCAAAAACAACTTAAGCTGTGTGAGACAAAAGATATGATCCCCGAGCAAGGGAGGGAATAATTAAGCTCGCTTAACGCGTAGGTTTTCGCGACAAATATTATTCAGTAACAAAAACATGGATTCTAATACTTTTTTTATATATAACTCAATGCGAACGCGAATCATCGGTCTGGTTAATGGATAAACTTAGGTGGCGCCGTCACGAGGCCCCCCCCCCCACCCCTTTCTTCCAGAACGACACACAGCTGTGTCTTCAAAGCTAATAAACACACGGACAAACACGCACGCGAAACACACGGACGGACACGCACACACACACACGAACGCAGATGGTTCACACCCACAGGAATGTTTTATGACAGGCTTTGAACAACTCGGGAAACTGAGTGGAATTTCCAGATATAAACCGAAGGAAAATCCATACAGAGCAGATCGCCAGGGCTCTGAGCCCCATCTCGTCGCCAGGGCTTCGACTCCACCACAGATCGTCCGGGCCACGGGCCCCACCAGAGATCGTCCGGGCCATGGGCCCCATCTCATCTCAACGCCGACAACGAAGAAGTTTTCGTCATCCAGAATGACGAGGTTCGCGGAGTAGCGACGCGCAGCTACAAGCCGAGGTCTGCACCACCTGAGAAGAATCGCTACCCTGTGTCGCCGAGCTGCGAGTGAAGCCAACAAAGACGCCAACGTCCACCCTGCCTCGAACGAAGCATCGCTCCTCGTCAGAGTGACGACCAGCGAACAACCCGCAGGAAAGGCGGAGATCGCCAAGCGAGCAAAGCAGAGAGTCAAAGGCTTCCGAACGAGCGCCGTCGAGCGACACCGAGCGACAACGATCGCCACCGAGCGCCGCGGCTCACCTCACCGCGGAGAAAGTCTCGGCTGCAACCCGCACGGACAGAGGTCGTATCGCTCCCCACATACAGACTCAAGGAAGAACAGAGAAAATCTTGTCAAACCAGTTTCCTTTGTTATAGAGGCTCGCCGAAGAATTAATTAAAACAGAGCCAAATTCGCTCTCCCCCACACACGCCTCACCCACCATTGACTCAAACATTCCGTTAAAAGGATTTTACACTTGCCGATGAATCTATTGACATATACTTTCGCCTCTTGGGTATAATACGTGCTTTTTATTACCGCAAAATGAAGTGTGTCATGCTTGTTTTCAAACTCGGCCAGTCGCCGATTGTGATGGCATAATCTTGCTCATGAATTTATTGACGCATGTTTGACCTGCATGATAGAATGTCACGGGTTTGTTAGAATAAAATTGTTATCACAGAAGCATATCGAGTGTTCCTTCCAAGTCCATGCAAAACTGTCTTATTCATAAGAGCTGTTACCTGCGATGAGATATGAAAATGGAGACCTAAAATATTATAACACACACTAGGATAATCGGTAAATGAATCTATGATAATCGTGTTATCCTGATTGATAACTCTGGATAAACGAAACTAAGCAAATTATCATAACTGCACACATTAACATAATCGCAAGCATCCGCATAAATTACGATAATCTCCACTATTATCATAATTTATGCATATAATTACATGCATTATCAGTAATTTATGCATAGTAATACACACATTAACATTATTAATGCGATTTGCACATTTTTCGGAAAATTATCAATTTTTATTATTTTCATCAAAATTTCATAACCCAACACATACAACAGAGTCCCATGGGGTTAGATGGGCTGCAAACTTGAAGAATTATGCAGAAGAGCAATCTGAGTTGAGAAGGGGACTGACTAACAGAAGCTTCTGTCATAGCTTTATCAAGATGCTGATCATCCTCAAGAATTCCACGAAGATTGCAAGATTCCCTGTATGTTTCACAAACAACTCCTTCCACTGTTTTGAGGTCTTGGAAAGATTTGGCCCTTTCACAACATGGAGAAGCATGCGCAGAAAGTAGCACTCCTGATTGCTGGGATGAACTGTGTAGACTCTTCCCAAGGCATCAGATTCACCGTCACCAGCACGTCGCTTCCATTTATTTTGAGCAGTCCACGTATTGTAGGAGGGAACTTTATGGTAGAGCAGGTTGGTAGCAAATGGGTCACTTTGGCACAAAACAAAAAACGCCATCAGGGTGGTATCTTGTGGAGCCAGGGCCTGTTCTTGGGCATTTCCTTCAGTGAAGTATATGCGTTGACCATTTTCGAGGTGAACTGCCAAATGGACCACTGTGGGGGAACGCTCATGGATGGGGAAGCCAAGAATTCTCCAAATGGCCTCATTGGTGCTGATGTATCTTCCTTTGTCAAAAAGCTGAACTTTATCCACACTTTGCCCCTCTTATTGTAAGGCAAACACGGCCATGTCAGACCCTTTGTTGATGTATTTGCAAACATATTTGATGGCTTTCACAGAATTGCAGAATTCCACATTAATGTGGGCCTCAAATATCTTGCACAGAAGAGGCCAGTAGGGAACGATCCACTGGTTGTCAACCTTCATTTCAGAGTTAGTGCCAGGTCTGAGCGTTGTTTCAAATCCACCATCTTCTATATTTCTGCGACGATATAGAGGATAGCCATCATGCCCTGCCTGAGTTTCTTTCAAGAAGTTTCTTGGATACTTCTTGGTACACTTGCGGTCTTGCATACATGGCGATTTTGGATTGAACTCCCCACATGGGCCATGGACCATTTGCTTGCAGACCACATCAAATTGGGCAGGGTCTTGATTCGGGTCAGGTAGCTCAGCACATATGATTGAGTCAATGTCATTTGCATGAATTTTTTCCCTCATCCATAGCAATATGTGAGCATGAGGAAGACCACGTTTGTGCCACTCAATTGTGTGCAAGTTAAAGAGATCGGGCCTGCCATATTACCTGATATAGGTCATGGCATCTTGAGTCCTCTCGTGCATGTATCTTGGTCCACCTGTGAAGGATGAAGGCAAGATAACGAATCTGCCCACATTCTGAACGTTTGCATCTCCGTCGGCATTGATAGCGTCCCTGAGATGAACATACTGTTCTACACGCAGGCGTTTTTGATTGAGTTGAATGTAAAGAAGGCGCTCACTCTCAATTTTGGCATACTCGTCAACAACATACTGGTGAAAGAGGTTGGCGCACCTCAATATGTGGTTTCCGCCTTCCCTGTCCATGATCATGAAGGAATAAAAGTCCTTAGAGGAGACAGTTTTTTTAGGATGACTTTGTCCAGTTGCTTTTATAATTTGAGGAATCTGGACGTGGTACCCATCTTGCCCTTGCCACAGTATAATGGGGTATTGTAGGGCATCATATGCTGTTTGTCTCAGGAATTCGTTTGATGGTGTTGTCTTGGTATCGAAGCACAATGTCTCTCTTACCATGTTCTTCACCCACCATGAGAACAGCAACCTCACCACAAGTTGGGGCATTGAACCTCCGTGCATGCTCCCCGCTTGGGACCTTGGATGCACTGATTACAACCTGATAATCATTGGAGGTGACTTGTTGTGCTGCATGTTTGAAACTTGTAACCAATAAATTGTGTTGGTTGAGCATCCCTTGGAGGGAGAGGACAATTTCTAGTCTGGCACCAGGAGCATTGCTGCATCGCTGGTTGCCTTGCTGACCTTCATCTCCCATGAAGTATATCTGAAGAAACTTTGGCTCTTCGCCAGTCAGTGGCTGAATGGATCCAATTCGATGATAGACTTGGCCTTGAACTTTGAATGTGGGCATAAATCCTGGCTCCACTATCTCCTTAGTCGCACCAAAAGAAGTAATTTGAAAGCAGGAATTGTACTTCCTGATGTTGGTCAGAAAGTGTTTAAACTCCGGGGTATGACCAGATACCAAGGTTTTGAGTGGCTCGGGGGGCGTCTGCACAAGGCAAAGTTTGACTTTTCCATCACTGCAGCACATTCCCTTGGATTCTCCTTTCCACTTTTTAGCACCGCATTCTGCACAAGTAATTAACATACAGCCTAATATCACCATGGATTTATAATCGATCTCTGGTTGGTAAAGAAAAGCTGCTCTGTTCCAGTCCGGGTTATTTCTTCATGTGCTCAATGCAGCCGTATCACGGACTTGCCTCTGGCGCACCATTTTATGATGTTGTGGTTCCTCAGCCCGTGCTGCTGCAGTGACTGTGCGCTCCATGACTTGTCGAGATGCACGATGTTCAGGGTTTTCTTCAACCCGTGCCGCTGCAGTGACTGTGCGCTCCCTGACTTGTCGAGATGCACGATGCTCAGGGTTTTCTTCAACCCGTGCCGCTGCAGTGACTGTGCGGTCCCTGGCTTGTCAAAATGCACGATGTTCAGGGGTTTCTTCAACCCGTGCCGCTGCAGTGACTGTGCGCTCCCTGACTTGTCGAGATGCACGATGCTCAGGGTTTTCTTCAACCCGTGCCGCTGCAGTGACTGTGCGGTCCCTGACTTGTCGAAATGCACGATGTTCAGGGGTTTCTTCAACCCGTGCCGCTGCAGTGACTGTGCGCTCCCTGACTTGTCGAGATGCAGGATGTTCAGGGTTTTCTTTAATCCGTGCCGCTGCAGTGACTGAGCGGTCCCTGGCTTGTCGAGATGCACGATGTTCAGGGTTTTCTTCAACCTGTGCTGCTGAAGTGCGTGTGCGGTCCCTGGCTTGCCGAAATGCACGCTGTTCAGGATTTTCTTTAGTCCGTGCTGCTGCAGTGCATGTGTAGGGGTGTTACGGAGGGGCTGTTATACAATGGGATCACAAGTGAAAGAAACACAGTGGGCGTGGCTATGTCGGTGCACGGGAAGGTGCTCCCAGCGACGTTTGCATCGGGCAGCCTGGGGGGCTGACTCGGAGCTGGGATCCCCCGGGGCCCCACCCCTCAGCGGGGGTTTTGGTATAAAAGGGGATGAGCCGGAGGGCTCGAGGAGAGATGTTGAAGCTAACCAGTGAAGACAGAAGATCGTCTAGATAGAGCCCTGGACTCCCCTGGATCGCCGCCCTTATCAGGGCCGAACAGGATCGAGCCAGCGGCGTGGTCCCGAGAGCCAGAGCTCTTGTAAGAGCTGGTCTGGGACTCCGGGTACCGTGAGCCCGACTTACCAGTGTCGGGCTAGCTAGCCTCCCCTAGCCCGTTAGTGGAGGACCAAGAGGTAGGCTAGGCGTAGCTAGAGGGTGTATTCCCAGTTAGACGGGTGAGGGGGCCGATACCCCCTCCAGTGTTGTATGTCCAGTGTTGTGCTGTACCCGACACGGAATAAATACGTGTGCCTCCAACCCCGGCGTCCAAGTCTCCTGGGACATTATTACATCTGGTGTTAGAAGTGATCTGCTACGAACATGGACACGCGACGGACGGCTCGTGCCAGGGAACCGGGGGCGGAGGACACCGCTGCCGAAGTTGAGCCTGAGATGGCTGAAGGCGACGCCGAGCAGCCGGGGCCGGGTCCATCCACACCGCAGCGTCTGGATGGAGGGGAGCCGTCAGCAGATGGACTGCGGCAGGGTCACGCGAGACTGGCGGAGCTACTTTACGCTGCTGCCGCCACGCTTGACCAAATTACGCGGCTGGGGGCTGGTGGACCGCCACGGAGCGACGACAGCCGACGGGCAACACGGGTTCCCGCCACTTTTACGGAGCCGGATTTTGATTTTCCTGCCATCGCCGCAGCAACTGCTGAGGGCGTGGCCGGGCTGAGCCTCGCGACCTACGTCGGGCGTACAGTGGCTGCTACATCATCAGGAGCGGCCAGCGCGTCACCAGTGGTGCGACCGGCGATGCCACTCGTCGTTCACGCCGAAGCCGAGCCGAGTGACGGGAGCAACGGGGGGCGACCTTCGACTGCGGCAGCTGCGTTGCACCAACGTTTACCTCCCCTCAAGGAGTTCGTGGGCGAAGATGGTGACTGGGGCGGCTTTCAGCGGCGCTTCCTCGCACACCAGGAGATGGCGCAGTGGACAGATGCCGAGGCTCTCCGCGCGCTGCCGGCGATGCTCGACAGCGATGCCCTCGCCACTCTCACCTCGGCGCCGAAAGCCAACCGCGCCACGCTGCAGATGGCGCTTCAGCTGCTGGCTGCAGTCTACGGACCACCTTCTGACTGCAGACAGCTATTCTACGATCGTCAGCGGGGTGCCAAGGAGTCGCCCCTGGCGTATCGCACAGCTCTCCTGGCACTGGCAAGAACGGCTTTCCCGCGAATGGATGACGAAGGAGTGGATGCCATGGTGACGGAGAAGATCCTATTGCTGGCTGACGAATTAGACATTGTCGTCGTGTCGCAGGACGACGC